GTAGGGAAACATTTTCATATCCCCTGGGATTGTCCCAGATTGAAGCTTCTGGTCTGATGTTAGGAAACATGCAAGAATTATTTCAGCAATATATCCCCCAAAGCCCCGTTACTGTGCAGGAAGGATGATGCCCTGGATTTTGAAATGAAGAGAAGAGAAAGAAGGAAGTAAGGAAGAAAAGAGAAGAGAGAAAGAGGAAGAGAGATGGAGAGAGAAAAGAGAGAGAGAAAGGAGAGAAACAGATTACGAGAAGCAGAACGATTCACATCCATGAATAGATAGGAATGTGATTAAAGTTCACACAGGTACAGCTGTAACATTATCTCAGAGCAAACCCAGACATCAGTTTTGGAAAAATACTTGGCCAAATTAAAACCTTGAAGTGAAGCGATTTGTTGCTTATGGTGGAATTTCTCAGATGATTATCAAATGCAACGAGCTGACATAAAAATTATGATATGAACTCCCTACTAACTATATTATTTAGCAATGTGCTTGTGATTTATCTAGATGTAAAAAATGTTTATACAAGACTCTCTTGGTTACCATAATTAAACATGCACTAAAGAGGATGAGATTAAACTCCAGTAGCAGTAAAAAATTAAGCAATAAGCTTTACAGAGCCTGAGCCCAGGCAGTCAATATATATTCCTGTTATAGCCAGTGCTTCATTGCCTCAATTCTGGTTTGTGCCCTTTGCTTTTTTTCACATTTTAATTTTTCGGGTTTTTTTTAATAGGAAAATAAATCTATGTGCTTAATTTGTATAAAGACTGAATATCTAAGTGAGAGAAACCAGTGTATCAAAGGATTTACCTGCTTTCATATGTAAAACTTACTGTGCTTAGAAACCAGTACTTGAGCACTCACATTCACCTTTTACACGCAAAATCACTATATTTCATGCTGTTGAGTTCTTCGTTTGCAGCTGAAATATGCAACTGCTGGGGAACAAAGGTCTAGAGCTGATGTGGTCAGTCCACATCAACCTTATGGACTCATAGGAGTTGTCTGAAGTCTGTCACTGAATGCAGAGCTCAGGCAGAGGTTTCTAAAAGCCTGTAGATACCCCTATAATGGGATATTCAGTGTCCTAGAAGTGAAATAGGTACATGAATAGACTGACACCAGAAGAAGGTCTACAGACTTCTTTCAGATGTGGGGATTTCAGAGTCAGGCTTGCTAATTCAGAGCCCTCAACAACAGTGGAAATGAAGTCCTGGTATTGCAGACCATGGGTTGACTCACTTGCCTGTGGTCATTTCTCTTCAATTCCTTTGGAAATTGTCTTCCCCAACATATCCCATTTTCCAAACCCAGGCACATGTTTCACCCCTCTGCAAACCCTCTGTGCCAGCCAGGTGGGGAGAAAAGGGAGACCTTCTCTCTGTGCTAACTGTGCTGCAAACAGCACTATGCTAATTAAATGACAGCAGCCTGACAGAACAGATTATATGTCATCCTACCATTAATTAGTAGTTATTCCTTCCTGTATCAGAGGAGTTCAGTGTAATCACATCTGTGATCTCACATGCAAAACCCACTGTGAATGGCTGCCCACTGCACATCTGCATCACTCCCCACAATATGGTCCCAGCATGGTTCCCAAGACCTTTGGGGAAACAAATGGGTTGGTGCCATTTGCTTTACCTTTGCATAGGACTAGCCAGTACAGGAAGTGGAACGAGGAGCACAGGGGACTTGGCTTTCATCCTTCCTTGACAAGGAGGTGGCCCTATGTCTGCCACAATGCTCAGTCCCAGGGTTGTATGAGTCTGTAGACTCGTTGTAATGGGAATTACAGGAGAAGGTAAGAAACCTGTGAAGTTCCAGTGATGGTAGGAGATGGAGAGAGATCACCAGCCTGCAGCAGCTGAGCTCTCATCCTGACAGGTCTTCCAAGTTTCAACAGCTCATGCTCCCCTTCACATATACCAGGTCAAGAGCATCCTTGCTGGGTGAGGCAGCACTTGGGGAGGCTGTGGGGAGCTCCTGCAGGCATGGGAGGGATTTGCTGGCTGTTCAGGCTGCAGTGTTGTTTGTTTGGCATGTCACCTCCAATTCCTACCCTGATTGCTCTGCACTGGTAGCCTGATTGTTTAACTTCAGTTAAGAGTGAACTGAACACAGGTCGCATGCAACACAGGGCATGTCTTGAGCCTCACACTGCTCCTTTCAGGTATGTCACTGCATGGTGGGTGCTAGAGACAGGCTAAGGGGCAGAGCTCATGAACATTGTGCTCAGAATGACAGCTTCTGTCCACCTACAAATCTACATCATCACAAGAAAATGTACCCCATGTCCTACCCAGGAAGGGGAGAATATTAAACCTATTGTTGAACTGTGTCAGAATCTGAACAGTAATTATGAATACTGCAGTCTTTTGATGACTTATTTGAAAAGTCCAAATAACATTTTTAAACTCACCAAGCAATGGATCACCAGCACCAGCACACATGAATATCATAAACAAAAGTATCTATGACCATATGGATAAATTAGGAATAAAATATCACCCAAGAATAAAGTCTAACTCTGAATCACACAGTTATTTGTAGTCAGATCATTCAAGTTACTTTGTACAACCAAATTATTAAGATACAGTAAATGCAAGAAATGAGTGCAGAAAAAAAGGTGAAAGTTTCTAATCCGAGATCTCTGTAGATCTGCTTTGATTTTTGTCTTTCAAGTACATAAAAAAGAAAAGCATTTGTCAGGGCCAGAGGGAAGTTACCTGATTTAGCACATATCGCTTTATGTTACTGAATGCAATAGGGACCTGATGATGGAGCTGCATTAAAATTTCTGGGCAGAGACACAGGTAAACAGGACTCATTTGGCTCTGCTGGGGCAGTTTTTAGCAGTTCTTAGAACCCAGCATATGCTAGATGTGAAGAACAAGTAGTAAGACCAGAGAGAAGACAATAAATGTAACCCTATTACGCCACGTTTTTCTCTTCTTCTTCTTTTCAAAATCAGTAGTCTGAAGAGCGTTTGAATCTGTCAGTTCAGGTTCAATAAATACTCCTGTGTTAGTGCCACGTTTAAAGCTGACGTTGTTTCTTCTGAGTTCTGGGGGACATGGAAAAAACCCCAACCCCTAATACCGTAGTCTTATAACTGAAAGTAACTTGCAGGCTGAGGAGCTGCCTGACCCATCCTTTAGGAAGGAGAAACTCCAACGGTTTTAGGTGACCTTTTCAAGGGCAATTGTTCTCCCACCCTTTTTTTTGCAGCAAAGAAACACGGACATTCCTGTACAAGCACACAATCAATTCCAGAATAATAATCAAGATGAAGTTTCAGTGTTAAAAACAAATACCAGAAAAAATTGTAACAAACACAGAGATTCAGAGCAGCAAGAAGCGTATATCAAGATGAGATTTACCCATCCCTTACTGGTTCCTCAGCAGTAGGAAGGTTCCAGCTACAAATCCTGGAGGAATATATCACATTCAGAGGGTAAAGGAGGCAGGGAAGAACAAAGACAAGACCAAAACAAGGTAGCAGCAGAAGAGGAAAGAAAGCGGAGAGGACTTGGGGGTTCATTCACAGGTTGGACTGATTGCACAGAGACAGGGGGAATCACTGATGTGGTGGCAGTGACAAGTCTGGATTTGGATGGAGGCAGGAAGCTGCAGGTGATTTGACTGCAGTTTGTGATTGCTGTGATGCAGGGAGGGACTTCCTGCCCACGCTCAACAGCTAATAGTGGGCCAAGGACATGGAAAGGAGGGAGTTAGGGCAGAGGAGGCAGAAGGGCTGGAGGACAAGACTGAGCAGAGAGGAGTGGGGGTTCTGGCCATGGAGGAAGTGATGGAACATCTCCAGGCTGGGATGAGAGGCCGGAAACAGAGGTAAAACAAATAGTATCTTTGAATAGCATCTGAACCCTTGAAACTGGCTAAAGGATTACATGGGGCATCCCAGAGTTCATTAGATCAGGAGGGCTGGATAGAGAAGTGCCAGTAAGTGTGCTGAACCATGTGCAGAGCAAAGGCATATAAAGAGAGTGCTCTTCCAGAGCTCAGCAGGAGCACTGTCAGAAGGGGTATTAACACACATGAAGCTGTTTGGGTACAAAGACCAAACCCAGAGAGGCTTTGGAAGAGCTCTGGCAGGGCTGTTCTCACCCTTTAGAGGGATGACCGGACAGGCTATATGGTGGTGACAGGATGCCCCAGACATCCCTTAAGGTGTCTCTTCTGAGGCTACAGGGGTAGATCTGTGGTGGGTGTAGGGGCATGAAAGCTGCTCTGGGTTTCTTTAAGTTCCCAGGTTCAGAGAAAAGTCATGTGGCCACAGTAAAATAAAGGGAATTTGGAAGGGTGTGAGAGCAACCACTGGAACTGGTTGAGAGGGAAGCACTTCTCTTTATGAAAGTAGGAAGGGGGAGTCCTGAATCTCTTCATGGTCTTTACCTATCCTGCATACGAGAAACTGGAGAGGCATCATGCAGTGAATCAGGGGCTTTAGCAGGTTATCCCAAACAGACCCATGCATGTATGGACTGGACAGCTTGAATTTAGCTGTGAACCCAAATTCTGGCTGCATACTGTTATGCCCAAATCATGTCATCTTAGGAGCCCTTGCCCCCTGTTCCCTGTCCTTCTAACGTATCTCAGAAATATGCACAAGCAGCACTATAAGTTGAGCGGTTTGGCTGACAAGATGGACTTTTTATTGTTGGTTGTCATTTTTATGGTCTTGGTTGCTTAAATCTGACAGCACCTTCCTGATGTGGAAGGGAGAAAGGAGCAATCAGACATGGGGAAACACAAGGGTGATAGGTAAAGTTATAAAAGACAGAGCCATATTTCATCGTGAGCACTATTTTAAAATATGGTCCTATATTTAATGTTAATGGAAGCCATCATTCATGCATCATTGCCATAGGAACATTTCTATTAACATTAAACATTCTTCGATACCAATAAATGCTACTGGCTGGCAGAGGAAAGTTACAACGTGTGTAATTTTGCTCTTTGTTTTCTCTTACCATGTGTAGGTGTCTGGGTGGCACTGTTTAGAATCAGGTGATTATAATTTTGCTCTTGGTCATCTGAAATTCACAGAAAAAACAAAATCCCTTTAAGAAACAGAGCTCAGCAATGCCACTGATCTGCAGATGATAATTACAGCTCACAGCGTTCACAGGAAATCTCAGCATGATTAAAGAAAGGAGGAGAAAAAAATGCTTAAGAAAGCAGAAGAGTCTGTTATGTAGTTCACTTAAAATTCCAGATGCAAGACGAGCATGATAATGGGAAACTGCCCCCCTTGTGCTGAGCCTGCAAATTACAGTTATCTGCAAAGGTGAAGAGCATGTCCAGACAGGAGCAAACCACCGCTGGTGTACCAACATCAGTGGTGTGTTCCTGGGGACTGCTGGAACCTCACAGTCCCTACTCCACCTCCATCCAGCATGGAGGTTTTCAGGACATTAGCCCCAACCACATGAAAAACAGACTCTCCCTCTGTGACCACAACCTCAACAACAACGTCCAGTGTCAGTACATGGAAAGACAAAACAAGTGGCCTCATAAATGAGGGAGGTGAAGTTAAATAGTTGCCCATTTCCTTCCCCTGAGAAGTGAGAAAGCCGTGAGACCGGATGCATTCAGTCTTGAATGCATCGAGCTGCAAAGTAAGAGTGTTCAATGGCACGATGACCGCTACCATTGCGGTTAGTAGCTACTCTTTGGGTTGGAAAACACTTTGTCACTGTAATAAAACCATTAGATAAGCAACTGCTGATAAACTTCTCTTGTCTTTAGTTTCCAGACAAGCCTTCAATAAGGAATGAATTCTTTGACTGAATCTTTACAACCCATTACGGAACTGTAGTAATATAGGCTGAGAAGAGATAACAAGAAACCTTCTTGCATCTCGTGCTCCCAGTGCAGGATGGACTAGTCTGATGCCCTGTCTGCTATTCTTACAACTCTGTCACCAATATTTCGCTTTTTCCCAAGAAGATCTGTTTCATTAGGTCTTTCTCACTGCCTCTTAGGCCAATTGTTTCTTTCCTGTCCACCAGGAGGGACATGGAGAAAATCCCCTTTGTTTCTGCAACAGCTCTTTATGGCAAAGCTCTTCCTATGTGTTCCCTTAATTTTATTCTTCAAGATAAACAATGTAATATCCTTTATGTTTCCCTATAAAACTTGCTTTGCCTTTGATTACTGCTATTGTAGCATCTTGTGCTCTCTCCAGTTGACCTTGATTGTCCTCAAATCTGGAATACAATGTGGGACATGTTTCTGGGGAGAGACCTTGCCAGTAGAGAGATGAGTGAATGGGTTTTTCCCAGTCGTCCACTCTTCTTCACAGAAACTTGCACCATCTTTTTCTTTTCTGTTTCATGTAAAGTTTATGTTCCTCTGTCATTCCTTATTGCTTTTTCAAAGAAATGCTACCTGCCCAATGGGTCCTCAACAAATACAAGGCTTTTTAGTATTCCTGTTTCAGTCCAATATGTGGCATTTTTCTCCATTTAATGAATTTATTTTCAGTCTATTTCTCCAATCTGTCAAGAACATTTTAAATTCTAATCCCACTCTCTAATAGATTCCTGGTCATCCAAGCTTCATATCAGCTGCAAATTTAATAAGCAAATTCCTTTCCACCTGTAAAAGAAAAGAAGACTAAAAGCACATCAGTTCATCCTTCTGATATTTAGTTACCTTTTATGTTTAGTCAGCTATGATGGCATCTACCCCATAGAGGTTCATTAAGAACATGCTTCTCAACTTAGTTTCACACTACTTTCCCAGAAGCCACTGAAAATCTTGCTAAGGTCATGTTCCTTCATATCAACTATTAATCCCTGGCCACAAATCACAGTGAAAAAATAAAACTCAGATTAGCTTGACATGATTGCTTCCTGATAAGTCCATGTTGGCTGCTGCTTTATCTCACTTGAAACTCATCTGCCTGCACAGCATGTTGATTGTCTGTGTACAGCCGGAGTTAAAACCAGAGGTTATTTATTCGGATGACAACAGACTGAACACATTGGTTTATTTCTCCATCTAGAAAAGAGGCACTCATTATATACACAAACAGCTGAAATATAGAAAGGGTATCAATCTGGCTAGAAGTATGTGATGAGCAAACCTTGAAACGAGACCAGGTTAACGTAAGTACCTAAAGTGCCCTTGAATATGTGGCCTACAGGTTGCCTAAGTTAGAATGTTCCTTTAGATCCTTCACTGCTGATTACTTTCAGCCAGCAGTAACCACTTTTGTCAGTTCAGTTTCTGTTCCTCCACATAGTCTAATTTCACTTTAGCTTGAAAACTGGACCAGAGGATGGGTGGCACAAGTAAGACAATGCATGTTTCTGGAGTGCCTGTAACTGTCCATAGGGATTTTCAGATATACAGAACCAGATGGGACTCTTCATCTAGTTTCCAGCAAGCATGATACAGGATCCCACTCCTCAGTTTCTGCATTAGGTTTTAACTGTTTCTGGACAGACCTTTTCAGTAATAAGATTTTATAGGAGTGTATATGATGGAAAGTCTGATACATGTCTAAAAGAAATAGCTGCAGTATTTTTAGTCTTCATTACCAAACCCCACAATATACTTCAGGTCCCATCCGTTATCATCTGGCTTCAACTCCACAGAGCTGTCCGTGTCTCTCCTGCATCGGGGAGCCACCACTGCTCCCAGCACTTCAGATGTTTCTCACCAGTACTGAGCAGAGGGGAAGGACCACTCCCCTTGACCAGCAACACTCCTCCAAATGCAGTCTAGGATGCTGGTGGCCTTCATTGCCACAAGGGCACATTGCTAGCTCATGTCCAACTTGATGTCCAACGTGTATTTTGGGTTATTTTACCCACCATCTATTGCCTTATTTATAAGTTACTAAATCTATTTTTGAAACCTAGGTAGTGAGTAATGAGCTTTTTTATGGTCAGTTTTATGACCTCTCCTTGACATTCCCACTTGATAAATTCATTGAGCAGGACTAAATTGCTATACAGACACTTCTCTCCTGAAAGCCTTACAGAGTGAAATGTTTCCCTAGGAGGTAACCACCTTTCTATATGCTTTGTCTTGCAGCCTGTGGCTCCTGTGCTAGTCCCTCTGGGTTTCAGGCAGGTGTAGGGCTGCGGTCATGCAGAGCAGCTAAGGACAGCAAGGACTTCCAGCCTGGCTACAGGAAAGCTACATTTACAAAGCAAGTCACAGAAAACATCCAAACATCCAAACTGTTTTCTTCCCGACTAATGTTGCTTACACACCACAGGAGCTGACAGATAAAAGGTTACACAGAGATGGAGACACTTATGTGTGTGAAAAGCAAGCACTTAAAACAGTGGCTGACATAACTTGAACACATTCATTGCTCCTGAAGGGAGACAACAGAGGTTTCTCTCCTGAAAACACTGAATACTCCATTGCAGTCACTTACTCTCACAACCTTGCTCCTGGGTGAAAGTGAAGTATGTCTTCATTGAGGACACTTACACCTGTATCTACATGAATAGTCTTTTGATTCTAATCAGCTTTCCATTTCATGCCAAGTACTTTCTCTTTCCCTCTCCCTTTCCCTTTCTCTTTCCTTTTCCCTTTTATTTTCTTTTTCCATTTTCTTTTCTTTTTCCCTTTTCCCCTCTGTTCCCCTCCCCTTCCCTTCTTTTTCCTCTAAATACCTCAGGTGCTTTGAGGCTACTGCTTAAGAAATGCCATCCAGAATAGCCAGACCCTGAATTATTGGCATTTTCACGTAGCTGAGCTAATCAGACATCTGAATGCAGCACTGGGCTTCATTTACCACTTGTGTAGCCTATTGTAAACACTTTCTAAGCAATAAAATGCTTTACAATGATGGCTGAGCCTTCCTGCACCTCTTCAGGTTTAACAAGATAATGCTGTTAATTGTGAAGTGCCAGTTAGGCGGAAGCGTATCTATTGTAGAGACAAGAATTTGAGTTCAAAGCTATTTGCTAGAAAACTCCATTAGGGAATAAAGGATTCACAGTGCTCTGCATTGCCAGACCACAATACCAAATTTCTTAGCACAGCTGGAGGAGCGATCAGATACAATAATCAGCAGAAAGAATGAGATGTTTTGCTGGCAGATGTGAAACCAGTGCTCCCAATGCCTTTGCAGTCCAGGGGAAGACACATGGACACACAGGGGTTTTTTAGGGCTTCAGTTTTTTTTCCAAAGGAGTAAGAACAAGAAGCATTTCGTAAGATAGTAAGGATTAGGTATTAGGAAAAATTCTTCCCTGTGAGGGTGTGTAGTGATAGTGCAAGGGGGAATGGCTTTAACCTGCCAGAGATGGGAGATGAGATCTCGGGAAGAAGCTCTTCCCTGTGAGGGTGCTGAGGCGCTGGCACAGGGTGCCCAGAGAAGCTGTGGCTGCCCCATCCCTGGCAGTGTTCAAGGGCAGGTTGGACACAGGGGCTTGGAGCAAGCTGCTCTAGTGGAAGGTGTCCCTGCCCATGGCAGAAGTTGGAGCTGGAGGAGCTTTAAGGTCCCTTCCAACCCAAACCAGTCTATGATGATTCTGTGATGGTGATGATCCCTCTATTAATTCCTAAAACACACATGAATCTTTTATAAGATGTCAAGTGTCAGCCATGGCATCTAACAATTGATTTCAAGGAGCTCAACCATCTTTTCCACTGAGGATGATAAAACATGAAACTATCATTTTTCCAGTGCATATGGAGAGTGCTTTATGGCCCTTATGAGGCAATATCAGCTCCCTTGCCCATCTCTGGGCAATGGTCACCGTGACTGCCCACAGCAAATCAGGATGTGTCTCTCGCAACCTGAGAACACTATTGATGGGAAACTAGAATCGAGCATCTGGATTAGCTCCAGGGGATGCTGCTGGACACCCCCTCACCCCCTTCTTCAGAGAGGCAGGTCTCCTTATCTGCTGAGGTGCCAATCTCAGCACTGACAGCTTCAGTTCCTTTGGTCAGGAATAGACAGCTCTGGTTTGCATCATAAATCACTGAACTGTCTGTCTCCAGATGTAAAATTCCAGGTAACTGACAAAGAAAAATTTAAGTAGCCCCCAAGGAGTTC